TTGTTTGGAGGGCATTGGTGTATTTTGTGTGGAAGACTCAAACGGCCGGGAAGCATACAAGGGGTATAAGTTGTGTTGTCAGAAAACATAATCACGACGATGGCGAGTCCCCACCAGTCAGTAACATTCAGTAACCAACCCCCTATTGACGGGATTGTTTGAATGCATGTTTCTAGTTTCATGTTCTTTTCTTGGAGCTTGCGAAGACACGAGCATGCCAAACTATTAGTTGTTCCTGCAACACCTATCATGTACAGTACTTGTTTGGTATCCGGTGGCTTTTACGATGCCTCTGGTGGGATTGAAAGGTCCGTCCCTACCTGCCATGGATGTGTTTTCATCCTACCCAGATCGCTTATGGAGCCCGCAATTTGGCAGTATGCTTGATACTGCTAGTCTGCGAGGGTCAAATCTTCTTGCGAACTGAGAATTCTTTCTGAGCCTTTGGGTCGTCAGCCTTCCCTCCAAATGGCACCAACTCAGCACACTGGCGAAAGGATGCGAAAGGAACCCCTCACGGCCCCTCACCAGCTCAGAACCAAGCACCAGGAACGACTCAGCGCAGCTCTTCCTTTAGAAATCATGTGGGTACCGGAGATGTATATAGCAGCCTTTAGCAGCCAATGTGAACCCTTAGCTGCTATGTAGAAGAAGAACAACATATGTTCTCCAAAGAAGAGTCATGACTTGGAACACAAAAAGCTCACGGCGCATCCCTGCACCGCTCAGCCTCCTTCGCCGCCGCCTTCGCTTCACGCGCGGCGCATCCCTGCACCGCCAAGACATCGATCCAGTCTTTCGCCGAACCACGCGAGGGTCGGACCAAAAGGGTCGGCGCAGGGTCGGCGGCTCGCTCCGTGGGTCACTCGGGATCCAACGAGTCTTCGATCTCAGACAATGCATGGAAGATCGTTCTGTCGTACTTATACATATCGGAGTCATATCAGGGTAACTAGGGAACATGTAATGTATATTATACTGTAACTATATATACTACATATTCCATACATGGATGGTCTTGGAGATGGTCGCTTCTGGGTTTGGATATTTGTTCGTGGCACGGAGATCCTGAAAAGATCCCATGTGTGCTGCGAGGATGAGGTGGAAGTGCTTACAAGCCTGTTGATGAAGAGGGTGCTTGGTTTCTTGTCATTATTTTATATACCAGAGGTTAGTTTTGACACTCTCAGAGCCAAAGGTCACGAGAGTCAGAGACCTCCTCTCGGCAGCCGGGAAAACCCACAGCGGCAGGCGGAAAGTAGGCTTTGTGGTCCATGTGCAGTGTACATTTAATGCTCGTGATGACAGGCGCCTGGTTCTCCCAAGTTTATAGCGCCTGGTCAAGTCGTGCAGCTTGCGCCGCAGAGGATTTGTTGGAGATGTATTCATCCACATGTGCCACATGTGCATGCACTTGCACGTGCGAACGAATGATCTTAAACGCACTTTATATATGTTTATATATATCCTTATTATACTCTCCCTATCGATCCAAGTACCTTCTCTCAAGGTGTTTGGGGTGGGTTTGAAGCTTGGAGGGTCCAGGTGCCTTCTGAGAAGGTACTTGGATCCCTAGGGTCTCTAATTGCTTTCACCCATGATCTTGGAAAAAGGACAAGAACGTCTTCACCCAGGAGCACTTGACACCCTAAACGTTATATAATCTGTATGCAACGGCAGCATTTTGGTTCCCCTTTTTATTTCGAGACGTTTTGACATGTTTGGGGCCAAGGGCTTCTTGACATTGGTGGCTGGTGCATATGCTTCATGTCAGCATGGCTGCAGCTACAGTCCGAGCCAGACCTTCCACAAGATCTGAAAGCGCTGCGAGATTGCAGCCCTGACGACCTGGGCTGTATGGCACAGCAGCAGGCCTGCTCTTTGGCCACAAAGATGGCGTCAGATTGGCCGAGTTTCCCAGAGATTCTGGAGATCTACCACCAGTTGCAAGACGTTTGTCTTGGACGCCCCTTGAGCTTCAAGACTCCAGAGGATGTTCCTGGCGCCTCGGGACAGACAGATTCTGAGATGTCCTTACTGTCCTTCGGAGGCTGGATACCGGACGCTTCAAAAACTCTTTTGTTATTTTGGCGACGAAACATGTTGGTTGAAAACAACCTGAAAACAGGTTACCACAGATTCTGGCTAATTCGCTACCATGTCCTTCTAAATGCCCAGGGGTACTGCACTGTGATGTTATTTGGCATTACCTTCCAACCCTTTTTTGGCACTGCCAAGAGGTAGCACTGTCTTCCCTCTCCTCGCCACACTGCCACACCACCAGAAGGGTGCTTACTAGGAGAGTCGACCGGTTTTGACTCTTTGATGGATGCCAGTAAGCAAGTTTTCAGGCGAGTGTAGCGATGCGAGGCTTTGCACCACCAATGTCATAGAGTATGAGAAGGAGAACGAATTGGCGAAGTATGGAATGAAAACAGGCAAGTTTGCAGCAAAAGCTGCATTAGACGTCCTCAAGGAGACTCTCAAGAGTGCCAAGGCTATTGCTCTCAGGGGCAGTGTTGCTTTTGCGTTCGTGGGCGCTTTCATCAGTGCATTCTTTCCCAGCGCAGGTGGGCTTCCAGCAAATCCCTGCACCTTTGCTGAAGATTGGGGCCGCTGCGTTTGGGAACAGGTGAAACCCTTTGTTCAAGAATTCGTGAGCGACAAATTGGATGAAGCTTTCGCGGACATCTGGAGAGCGACCTTTGAGGGATATCAGACCCGATTGTGGGCGTTGAATGCAACAGCCAACAAGAACTCGAAAAAGTTCCCCAATGGTACCATCAAAGAAATGTCAAACAAGACCAGAGATCGAATGCACGATGAGCTCAAAGCAGTGCATGATGCGATGCTGGGGAGCATTAAGCTCTTTCTGGCGGACCGTGCGATCAAAACCACAGCTGGAGCCTACTTGTCCCAGTTTGCGTCGTTGCATGTGAGCATCATGACCAACCTCTTGGGCTCTTGGAAGTACCGCACAGAAGGTGATCGCTATGTCTTCCAGACGGTGTCCGCATGCTATGCTCGGCGGGTCTACGAACGTGCGACAGCTGCCCTGAAGTCCCGAACGTCTGCTCTAGAGGTGCACGAAGAGGACAACGGCAAGCAGAGATGCTGTGACCGTGTAGTTTTTCCTTATTGCATAGTGTGCCCCGATCAGTCAGGAGTCTTTAGAGATACATGGAAGCTCTGCGACTGGAAGAAATGGTATCACACCTACTGCGTTGCCTATGTGGATCTTTGCGGGATGATGCCTGACATGTCTGCCAAATCGAGCTCTTGGGCATGTTACAAAGCTCATCGCCAGGAGGTTGAGAAGCAAACGGTCCTGTTTTGGCAGAACTGGCTTGCCCCCATTCCTGTTTGGTTGAACAATATTGTGTTGATGCAAGCGCTCGAAGTGAAGAATGGAACTCAAAAAGCAACCCACAGCACTTTTGACTGCTCGGCTCTGTAGGCTGACTATGACTTTAGAGTCTTTAGTTCTATAGATATTCCCTGCTCGTGCTTTGAGAAGATGACTTTCGAACAG